ACTACTAGCGAGGCACTTGTTACTACTAGCGAGGCACTTGTTACTACAAGCGATGCACTTGTTACTACTAGCGAGGCACTTGTTACTACAAGCGAGGCACTTGTTACTACTAGTAAGGCACTTGTTACTAGTAGCGATGCACTTGTTTCTAATAGCTTCTTGTTACTGCAAATTCATGCCTCTCGAAATCCTCGAAGTGCCTTTCGACTGCGCGGGTGAGATCGGAAAACGAGTATGGCGCTCTACTTACTCTTTCTCTCACTCTCACTCTCACTCTCACTCACTCTGACTCATTCTCACTCACGCGCTCACCCACTCTCTCACTCACACTCTCACTCACTCTCACACCCACTCTCACTCTCTCACTCTCTCACTCTCACTCTCACTCAAACTCACACTCTCACTCTCACTCTCACTCTCACTCAAACTCACACTCACACTCACAGTCACACTCACTCACTCACCACCACCGCCACCATCACCACGATCTCCACCTTCATCACCACCATCACCTCTCTGGACCCCAGTGTGTCTACATCTCTAGACTTTCTGCTGCTACACCTCTAGACCTCACACACACACACACACTTTTTGGGGCGTCTTGCCGGGATATAGTACGGGAAACTAATGTAGAAAATACCAAAGCATACTATCAAAAGCAAGGCTGCATATTCCTCCCGTAGCAGGGTTCCGGGACAAGTAGAAGAAAGGCCAAGATATGGGGTTAATAAGCGTGCTCACCAATAGGTCTTCAAGTAGAAGAAAGCATAGTCTTGGCACAAAGTACACATGAACCCGCCCGCTCTCTTTCCCTCGCTCTCGTGTTTGTCGCTCTCTCTCTCTCTCTCTCCTCTCTCTCCCACCCTGGAGAAGAAGAGAAAAGCAACATAAATGCGCCCGTGGTCATTTTCCGTGGCTGCTCAAGTATTGTTCCTAGCTTCTCTTCTGCCTTCTGTTTTGCCATCCGTTCTGCCTCCTTCTCCTTCCCCTTCCCGTGGATAATTTTGGTTCTTTTAAATTTTGTGGCAGGTGGTCGACACGCCGATTCTTCAAACAGAGCCTGTCCGCATCGAGTGAAGCTTGGGTTCTGAGATCCGAAAACGAGTATGGCACAAACAACGGTCGGAGAGGGGTTTGGGGAAGACCATGTTTTGGGTTGCAAAGCCCGATGTTTCTATGATATGTTTTCTTGTGCTTCACAGAAATGCCATCACACAAATTGTTTGTCTGGCGTTGCTCAAAGCGCTGGCTTGGACTGTGAATTCGGTTCTGGGATGTTCACATGTAGCAGCCGAGCTTCAGCGAAGCGCGCAAAAGTCGTGCAGCTGTGTGTGCATCTCTAGGGTCTTTGCTACACCAAAGCAAACCCTTGGCATGCAGGTTTTTCCAGCTGCCCAAAGAGGATTACTGCTGGGTAGAACATCGTGCCTGTTAGTGATTCCAACGGCTTGTCATTTTTGTCCAGCTTCTCAGCTTCTGAATTTTGTCTTTTGTTGATTTACTTGGTCAAACAATGTTTGCTGTTGCACAGCACTGCTGTAATACAGCACTGCTGTGCAAAGAATGTGCAGCCACGCGAATAACATTTCAATAGCAAATGACGCTTGCAACCAGCCGCCAAGAAACAATTAATTTTTGTTTGACCTCATCGGTGGTCGACTTCAATGTTTTGCTGAAGCAGTCGATTTTTCAAGCGATCTATACTTGCTCTTGGTTTCTGTTTGTATGTTTACTCACATCTCCAGCCTAGAGCAACCATTCTTTATGCATTCCTCAGGATTCTTGAAGCTCGAAACGCGGGGAACACAGCAACACAACCACAAGCGTGAACACAGTGAAGTAGATTCGAGAACACTACCACTGACATATGTGCCGCCTTAGGCGTAGCAAGAAGGTTTCTTGCGACTGCGCATGACTACGCCATACTAGGTGCAAGACCGTATTCTTAGCTTGGATGCATTTCAACCATCTTGGCTGCGCAAGCTCAGATCCATCTTTCTACAGGACACCTCCAAGCCTGAGGCGTCGCGAGTGCTCGCAGTCGACCTGTTGACACTGAACATCACTGTGACCCTTGCCTCAAGAACATGATGAGCCAAAGGCAATAATTTCAATGAGGTGTCGAACCAATGGTAAACAGACATGAGTGTAGCCAGTGTAGCCCAAAGATACTCTGACACAAAAAAGGTTGCAAGGTAGCGGGTATCAGACAGATCTTTCGTTCTGAATGACCCGCCAGATGCACCTTGAGATGAATGGCACGCCTGAAGATGACAGGTCATGAAGATGCTAATTTCAGAGTTTAGGGCTGTACACTTTGAAGCAGCGCTTTGCGGTTTGTTTCAATTGCAGTATAAACAGCCAGTTGTAACACGAAGTGGAGTTTTCTGCCAACTTGACCAGATTACACCAGCATAGACCCAGATAGCTAGGCAGAAGTCCACGACCTGTTGACATGCGACTGGCTAGAACAAGAATGTACGCAGCCTGCGCAGCCAGCTTACGGCACCTCCACAGAGCGCACAACCAGCTGACGCCAGCACTGGTGCGCTTTGCCAGCTGACAACACCGGCAGCGGCGCCAGCGCCCGACCAGCACAGCCGCCCGTCTTAAAGGTGCGCTCAGCCAGCCAGGACCACAACACCAGCACCAGCACCGACACCCTTTCGAAAGCGCGCGCAGCCAGCTCATTCTTATTTGCAGCAAGAACCCCATAGCTATCCCTATTTGGGGAATATCAACGTATGACCTTGCGCGTAAAGGTCATATAAGTTTACGCTCAAGCGACAACACCGTAGGATGTTGCGTGCATAAGTTCATGCGGCCCATGACTGCTGGCACTTCATTGTCAGAAGCGGCGCTTGGTCGCCCTTCACAGCTGCAAGCAGCGGTTTGTCACCCTTCACTGTCAGAAGCGGCGGTTATCACTTCACTGTCAGAAGCGGGCACCAGCGCCGAACTCCGGCGCGCCAGCTCATGGCGCCCAGCACCAGCGCCCAGCACCAGCACCCAGCACCAGCACCACAGCCCGCAGCCAGCGCCTGTCCCCACCACTTGCGCAGCCAGCTCACAGCACCAGCACCGGCATCCGGCACCCAGCACCGGCACCAGCAACCTGCTTCCACCACGTGCACAGCCAGCTCACAGCACCCAGCACCAGCACCAGCAACCTGTCTCGAAAGCGCGCACAGGCAACTCATTGTTATTTGAAGTAAGAAGCCCATAGCTTCGCTATCTGGGGAATAAGATAAGGCAAACGCTGTAGAACAAGAGATTAGAGTCAGAGGCTTTTACACACTGTTTTGTTCAAGATCATGTTGTCACTTTTGATGGAAGACGTTTATTGGCTTGAGCCACATGAGTCCCATGAAGCACTTCCTCAACGATCGAGCTCTCATCTAACTGGTTGAAATCATGTTTTGTCCATGGTTCTATCCTTGTTCCATGAACAAATGTGTCGATGGTTTTTCCTTGTTCCATGAACAAAAGTTTCGATTATGACCTAGTAGAGGCAAAAACAACCATTGAAGAGCCGCGAGGAACACAATCAAGGAACGCACGTGAGATTGACCCTAACGCCCTGACTACCCATGCACCAGTGACAAGGCTGGTTAGAACAGCAAGTGTGGACAAAGAAGCAACCCAGCGCTCACAGATAGCATGGACGCACCATGCTGCGTGCAGCAACCCTGCTGCTGTGGCCATGCAGTAGACACTTGGAGTTGAAAAAGGATTTGTTCCTAGTTTCTTGCTACTAGTAGCGATGGCCTCCAACCTACTAGTTTCTTGTTACTTGGAGTTGCAGACACTTCTACATGTTGCCACACTTGAGTTCAAACCGGTTGAAGTCGCTGCGGCCGAGGCCACTACGTTGAGCTGCCGGGTTTGCGCTGCATTGAGCTGCCCCAACACCCTCTTGGCACAAAGGGCGAACAGTGGAGCGATGATTTGGAAATCAGCGCCAGGAGACCTTTGGTCGCTGCTTTGGTTCATTGCCTTCTTGGTTGTAGAGACGTTTCCATTTCTTTTCAGGGCATAGAGTTTGTTGAATCCTAGCTGGCAGGAAAAACAACGAGACTAGTTCATGTCCAACGTGTCTATGAGCTTGCCTACCAGACCAGAAGCGTAGTTTGACAAAATTCTGCATTAGAACCCGTTTGCTAGTCTTTGCCAAACAGGAACACATACCACACTACAATATGATATGGACAGAATATTCAAACCCTTAAGAAGCAACGTCGGCAAGTGTCCTACATCAGGCACCTCTCCGAACCGTGACCCCTTGCGCAACTCCCCTCCCAGCACCGTAGAAAACTCCCTGCTGCCCAAAGCATCAATGTTGACGAGAAACCGCGCTTGGCCGAATGGATGAAAGACACAAACAAGCACGAGCGAAGCACCACGAGTTTGCAAAGCTACCCTGGGGTTCACAGTCGCTGGGTTTAAGTGCTTTGTCCACCTACTGTCTCAGCTACCCACGTTTCTTCCGCTTGTCTTGTATTGCATCTTGCAAGGGTTGGACTATTTCGTCCATCTACAGTAGTATAAAGTTAAAGTACGATTTCATAGATCTGGCAGTTATCAGTTTTGATGAACAGACAGAAGCTCGCATGTTCCAAAATCTGGTGGAGCCAAACCTGCCAGAAATGCGTGCGATGAGACGGAGTTGTGCACAGGCTTCATGCGTTATACCGGCCTGATGCTGAGACATTGAAGTTGAAGCGAACATGACAAGTTTCTCTCAAAGACCTTCGTTGCAGAACTGAGAAGCTTGAAGAACATGCGAACGTGTATTTTCATGTACTGTATGTTCCTTTGGAATCCTTTTGTTCCAAAACTTGTTTGTGGCAGCAGTACGGAGTGTTTTTTGAACGTAGCAGCGGCGAGTGATTCAATTAAGGCAATCATGCGGAGCATTGCTTCGACTGGTGTGGCCGCCCACAATTTTGCCTGGCGGACCAGGCCATAACGTTTCCAAACAGTCCTAGTAAGTAGCTTCTTGTTCCTAGTAGTAATGCCAGGAGCTATTACAAGTAGCGTCCTTGCTACTAGTAGCTGCAAAATCAAAGCCGAGGATCTCAAGCATTCACCATGTTGCCACATGAGAGGACAAGCATCCGCTAGAGCCAAACCCAGCCTGGACAAGCTATGTGAAGTCTGAGTACTTCGAAGTGTCTTCGGCAATGTGAAGTCTTCGAGCGTGGTCCAGTTCAAGAATAGTACGTCGAGCGTCTTGTTACTAGTAGTACGGCCAGGAGCCCCTAGTAGCGTCCTTGCTCCTAGTAGCGATGCCAGGAGCCCCTAGTAGCTACTCGCTCCTAGTCCAATCGGGACGAGGCTCTTGGCATTTCTCATTCAGAAGTTCGTCGTCACATTTCCAACAAAGCGCAGCCAAAGATGCCATTAGATGGCGAGCTTGCGCGTGAAGTGAATTGCCACTTGGAAAGGCATGAAGAGTGCTGTCAGTGCTGAGCTGCTATGTGTAACTCCTCTAGATTAATGATTAATGTCTTTCATGCTCTCTTAGCTGTTTGCTACTAGTAGTAATGCCCTTTGTTACTAGTAGCTTCTCGTTGCTAGTAGTAATGCCAGGAGGTACTAGTAGCGTCCTTGTTGCTACTAATGCCCTTGGAGGTGATGGAACCGGGTTCGGACAAAGAGCTGATCCCTCTGTGTTTTTGGTGGCGCCCGAGCGCGTTGCCAACGGAACAGAGCCTTTGGAGACACTTGGAAGTCTTGAGTCAACTTGAGTCGCATCTTTTGTTGAAGATAAAATATTGACAACATAATTTGTGATTTAAAAAAACCGTTGTTCCCAGATAGCGAAGCTATGATGGGGTTCTTACTTCAAATAACAATGAGCTGCCTGTGCGCACTTTCGAGGCAGGTTGGCCGGTGCTGGTGCTGCGAGCTGGCTGTGCACATGGTGGAGACAGAATGCCGGTGCTGGGTGCCGGGTGCCGGTGTTGGTGCTGTGAGCTGGCTGAGCGCGTGGTGGAGACAGGGTGCCAGTGCTGGTGCTGGGTGCTGGCTGTGCAGGTGGTGGAGACATGGTGCTGGGTGCTGGGTGCCGGGTGCCGGTGCTGGTGCGTGGAGACAGGTTGCCGGTGCCGGTGCTGGGTGCTGGCTGTGCGCGTGGTGGACACAGGGTACCGGCGCCGGGTGCCGGTGCTGGGTGCTGGCTGTGCGGGCTTGGTGCGTTGCAGAGACAGGGTGCCGGTGCCGGTGAGTCAGGGTGCCGCTACTTCCAGGGAAGCTGAGCGAATCAGCAATCAGAACACCATGCAGATATGTGGACTACGCCCTGGTGGATCTACCCACCTTCGTATCTGCGGGGCCGCCAGCGACGGCGGCAGCGAAATGTCCACCGAAGTGTCTCCTTACATGGCAATCTGCATATGATCTCACTGCTTATGTGTGGAACTTGGCTGCAAAGGTGCGCAACAAGCGTGTCCATTCTATGAATGGCAATGGAGGAGGGTCCAGGGCGACTCGCCGAAAGCGCTCTGAAAAGGAGTCTCAGTTTGGCAATTTTGGCCCGGGCCTGAGTGAAGACATTGTGTCACAATTAGTGCAGCTGCTTACTTTGTTGCAGTCTCTCTTGTCGCAGTTTGCCTCGTGCAACAAGGGTGCCAGCAACAATGTTAATTTTGCCAGTCTGTTGTCAAGTTTTGTGCAGAATAGCCTGTTTGGCAACAAACCAAAGTTGAAGAAAAAGCGGAAGAAGAAACCGGTGCGCACGAACAAGGCAAGTCAGCCAGTCGCTGCAAAGCCTAGTCAGCCCGCCACTGCGGGCAAGGAGGAACAGAAGCAAACCAAGCCTGTTGGCGCAAGCAAAGCAAACACTGCTAAGGAAACATCGCCGCCAATCCATGCACCACGCACTTTTGCTGATGTGGTTAAAGATGCCAAGGGTGACCCTCCGTTCCAGCCTGTTTGGCAGCTGCGTGCTGCGGATTGGGATGGTGAAATTTTGTCTTTTGATGAAATTGCGCAACGTTTGGGATCCGATGAGAAGCCCATCAAAGCGGTAGCTTTGATTTCCAGTGAGTGTGAGCTGGAAGAGTTGAAGACTTTGGTTGAAAGTGAGGCCCAGCCAGACCGCCATGTCGGCGTCACTGCTGTGTTGCCCTCTACCAAGGGTGTTGATGTGCCCAAGTCTGCTGGCGAATTTACGCAAGTTCCAGGAAAAACACGTGGCAAGCTCGTCCCTCGCATGTCGCATGTCTTTTCCATTGGAGTCAGCTGCCCTAAGCTGAAGAAGCAAGTTCGCACTGTAGAGTCTGCACCTAGTGTTGCTCCGACAGTTGTTTTGAGGTTTTCTACAGAAGCCAAGTACCATGAGGATCCGCGCTGGCGTGGCATTGTTGACAACGCCGGTGGGGCTGCCCACAAATGGATCCATGCCAATGTCCCGGCTGCGATGCAGAGACAAATCCGAGACATCTGGAGTTGGCAATTGCAGTCCTCCAAAGGGGGGGGGCAAGGCTTTGATCACTGCCCTCATGAGAGTCGAGCTTTCTGCTGCCAAAACTCTTTTGAGTCTGTCCGGACAAGGAGCCTGGTTCATTGAACCCTTGCGTTGGGATCAGCCTGACATCCCCACCTGCCAAGTGCGGTGGGAGAAGCGTCTGCCGGATGAATCTGGACATGTTTATGCCGCAAGAGTGTTAAGCATGGCTGGCAACCTTGGCTTGGCCAGAGGCCTGAAGAATCTCGGAGTCAGAGTCCCGCCAGCCAGCGACAAGAAGGTCGCTACGACCAAGGTCAAAACCTGGAAGGTCACTGGTGTTCCGAGAGATTGGAGTCACGAAAGCCTCGTCCCTGAACTTGAGGCTGCTGGTTTGAGCAATTTGCAACTCACTTCCAGGAAGCCACATGGTCGAACGACGTGCCTTTTCTTCACTGCCGAGTGCGCGCAAGGGACTGACTTTGTTGAGCTGGTTTTTGGCAACGTCACAATCACTGCTGCTGCTTTCAGCCCAATGAAGAGAATGCGTAGTGAGACCCAGCAGCTCAAGACTGTTTCGTCGCTGTCCTTCTCGCCTGCCTTTGGTCAGACCCGTGGATCTGCTGAGGTTCAGCCAGCTCAGCGATCTTCGTTTTATGCTGCTTCCCCTGTTAAGGTGAAGCCCAAAGCTGCTGCAGGGCATTCGCAGGACACCGCTTCCGCTGAAGCCACTGAGAAGCAACCGCCTTTGGCAGTTGAAGCTTCTCAGCCAAGTGAGGTAAAGGATGTGGAAATGACGTCGCCAGCCAAAGCAGCCACCAAGCGAATGGGTGGCTCGCCTGAGAAGGCTGCCAAGCCGCCGCCTAAGAAAAGGGCGGTTGTGAGAGATGTGCCAAAGGGCCTGACCCGGGTGCCCAACTCAGCGCAAGGTAATTGCCTTTTCGAGTCCATTGCGCAAGGTCTGAACCCTGACAATCCAAAGCATGCGCGTGCTATTCGTGCTGCTGTGATTGCTCATTTGAAGCGCCATGCCGACCGATACCAACCTTGGTGGGACAATTTGAGGCCGGATGAAGAAATCTGTGATTCCTGGGAAGAGTACCTTCGCTTAGTCAGCAAGGCTGGAGCGTATGCAGGCTGTCTCGAAATTGCTGCTGCTGCAGCGCACTTCGACCGAACAATCTTTGTTTTCTGTCCTTTTCTCGCCGAACCTGAGGCTTACAATCAGTCTAGCAAAAAGGGATACATTTGTCTTTGGTTCCAGGACCAGCATTACGAGTACCTCTGAATCCTGAGCTGCGAGCCAACGCAGCCAATGGCCCCATGCAAGGAGGTCGTGGAGGAGGCAAGTCTATGAGCTCGGGGCAGTCAGTGTCTGGCGCCGCCCGGATTTCTGCGTTGCCACCGGAGAGGGCATCCCAGTCGCGTGGCTCTGCAAGCCAGGCGCCAACGCGTGTGTCAGCCTTGCCTTCGTTGCCGCATGATAGACATGCTCAGAAGCGATCTAGTGCCGCTGCTGGTCTTAACAGCAATAGCGCGCCTGAAAGTGCCTTTGGCGAGTCTCTTCCGAGTGACATTGCTAGCTTGAGTGGTGACCCTGCATCGTGTAGTGATGATGAGTCTAAGCCTGCTGAAGCTGTTGCGAGCGCTAAAAGACAAGACTGGACTTGTCCCATCTGTGGTTTTTGGACTGGTTTCAAAAAGCATTGGACGACTGTGAAGAAGGACCACATTCGTAGCTGGCATCCTGAGAAGGCCAGTCAGCTTAGTTTGAACCCTCGTTTGCCGAAGCTGATTCCGTACAGCAAGGACAAGTGCAACTGGAAGTGTCCTCTTTGTGATCTAGGTACTCCTATTGAGGTCAAGAATTTGGATGCGCTCCGCAAGATGCGCTTGGCGCACGCCAAAGAGGTGCACCCCAGAGCCGCCACGAAGAGGTTTTTGATCAAGCGAGGAAGCGCCAAGAGTGCGCAAAGGGCAACGTCAGCCAAGACTTCAGCTGGCAACGCCAAGAAATTGCTTGACTTGAAGTGTGGTAAGCAAGGGCTTCATGACTGCGAAATTTTGCAGTTGCCTTACACGGGTCAGGGGAAAAAGCGCAGACGGTTTTTGAACAAAATCTTCTGCAAGAAGTGTACTGCTTTGTCGCCCAGTGCTGAGGCCATGTCAAAGCTCCCTTGCGAGAAAGCCAGCAAAGGAGGTCCAAAACGGGCTATGCTCATAGCTCGTTTGAAGAAGTGCCGCTCTCGTTTTGCACCCGGCGGTGCTGATCGCCAGGCTCTTGAAAGTGTCATTCAAAAGCTGCAGCCCTCTGACTCTGTCCCAGAGGCTGCGCCTGTTGACCATGACATTGTTCCTTTGCAGATTCCGGGCCAGCCGCCCAAGAGATTCATGTTCTGCAAAACACGCTGTCGTGTCGCTGCTTTGCAAAGCACCATCCTGAAAGCCGCCTGTAAAGGTAGGGTCACTTGGAGTCCGGCACGCATGAAGCTGGTGCGATTCCTTGAAGCCCAAATGAAACAAGCCAAAGGAAGCAAGTTGCAATCGCTGAGTGAGCTTCTCAATATGCTCACAGGGGAAGTGGCGTCTGGCTCCAAGCCATGACGCAACCTAGCCAGAGAGAATCCGAGGGCAGTTCGCCCTCTGGGCAAGGTGCTCTGGTGGTTGGCACCTTGAATGTTCGCACCCTCAAAGGAAAGATGGCTCAAGTGTTAACTTTAGCTCGTGAGAACTCGTTAGATATCTTGTGCTTGCAAGAGGTCCGTTTGTCCGAGGATAACATGCTGTCAGCCCACCATGCTGCCAAGCAGCAAGGCTGGACCTTTTTGCCCGGCCCTTGCGCGCAAGACTCGCAGGGGGCACCAACTGCCGGCGTTGCTGTTTTGAGCCGGTGGCCCGTCGAGAAGAAAGCTTTGCCTTCCCAAATTGATCCAGAACTGCAGTGCCACAGTGGCCGTTGGCAAGTACTGCAAGTGCATAGGCCTGCCAGAAGACCTTTTGTTTTGGTCAACTTGTACTTGCATGCTTCGGATCGCTCAAGTGCCTGCCGACTAGGGCATCTGCTTTTTGAACTAACTGCGCAGATGGGTGAAGATTGTTTATTCATAGGTGATTGGAACAATGTGCCTGATGAGGAACCTGCGCTTTCTCCACTGAGGGGAGGGCGGCTCCATTTGGCAGATGAAATTGCGGGGCCATTGCAGCTCCAGGCGCCCACTCGCACTGGAGGTAGGCACATTGATTACGCTTTGCATTCCATGTTGTTAGTTCCTTCAGACAGGGGTCAAGTCCCTGGAGTTGCTGACCATGACCTTGTGTTTTATTCATTTCCTCTGCTTGCAGAGGAAGCTTCCTTTAGGATTCAGCCTGCCAGAGCCTTGTTAGCCCCTGAGCCTGTGTCAAACGAATTGCAGGGTCGCAATTTTGATTTGCAACATTTTCACACTTTGCTGGAACAAAGCCAAATCGAAGAAGCTTGGATCTTTCTGAGCAATGCAGCTGAGATTTGCTTACAAGCTAAGCCAGGGCGTAAGCGCAGTTCCGTGCCAGCTCCAAGTCAGGTGCCTCGGGCTCCTGTCAAGCCCGACACTTTGCAGACCACCCTTGAGCGTAGACTGCGAAGAACTTATAGGCGGGTTCTAGAGTTGCAGAAACCTTCTTGGCCTTGGCGTTTACTGAACAAAGTGCGCGAAGAGCTGCGCAGGTTTGCTAGAATTTTCCCTGAGCTCACCGAGTTCGATGTTTTGTCTCCTCGCCTTCCGGATATCCTTCTGCAATGCATTCAGCGTGAGAGTGATGCTTCGTCAGAAAGAAGGTTAGCTAGGTGGCAAACCGACATGAATGAGAATGAGCAAGCCCTTATTCGTTGGGTCAAGGGCGCGGATAAGCTCATTGCCCCGTCAGGCCTTGACTCTGTTCCAGTGCATCCGCAGCTCAAAGCTGAGCAATTTGGTCGTGAATGGCAGGCCATTTGGTGCCCGCATAGCAATGTTGAGCCTGAACGGGTTCTGCCTTTTCTTTCTTGGATACGTGCTGACGAGTATTTTTGTCCGGAGCCTGTTTTCGCTGATACTAGCTTTGTGAGACTCACCAAACAAGCTTCTGGAAAAGCGGCCGGACCAGACGGTTGGAAAGCGGACCAGTGGCTTTTGTTGCCCGAAGGGTTTTATTCTGCATTCTCCGCCTTGTGGCGTAGAATTTTGGACATTGGGATTCTGCCTTCTCAATGGGCGCAAGTGCGTTGTGTCCTTATCCCTAAGGATGTCGGTTTCAGACCTATTAGCATCGCTTGCCTTGCTTGGCGCCTTGGCATTAGTTGCATTTTGCACCAGTTGTCCCCTTGGATTGACCAATGGGCGCCGCCGGAGTTAGTCGGTGGTTTGAAGGCGAGAAGTTCCACCATCGTACATGATGACCTTCATGAAGCTTTGCAGGAGAGCACTCTTTTTGGGGCAAAGATCGACGTTGCCAAATGCTTTGATCATGTGAATATCGAGCAAGCTTTCATTGTTTGGGAGAAATTTGGCGCTCCTGCCAAAGTTGTGAACATTTTGAAATGCTTTTATCGCATGCAAGTCAAAAGTTTCGAATGGCAAGGTTTTTGCAGCCGTGAACGCATTCGATGCACCCGTGGCATTTTGCAAGGATGTCCAAGTAGCTGTGCTTTGCTCGCCGGATTGATGACTGTCTGGTGTCGGTATGTGCAGCAACAATCGCCCAGTGTCCAACTTTCAGTTTATATTGATGACAGGACTTTGTGGTGTAAAGAGCGGCAGCCACTGCAGCTTGCTCTTGATGCTTCGCAGAGCGTTGACCAGGTTTTGGGCCTCAGGTTGAACAGTTCTAAATGTGAACTCTTCTACAAGTGCCGAAATGCCCAATTGCAAGCTTTTCAGTCATGGAACGTTGCTTGTAACAGGAAGTGGAAGATGGCTACCCACTTCAAGTTGTTGGGGGTTCATTACTTTTCTAGTAAGGCTCGCCGTAGACCAATTGAGCCTGCCGTTGTTGCAAAAGTGCAAGCGCGTCTCAGGCGCCTTCGAATGGCCACTCACAGGCACTGGAGCAAGAGGCGGCTTGTGAGGTCACTTGTCCTGTCCTTGTTTTCGCACACAGGCGCTTGGACCACCATTCCCAAGAAACTCTTGCAAAAATGGAGATATGCTGTTGAGACAACCATGTTGGGTTATCCTCAATCTGGGAGATCCAGATATTTGATGTGGGCTTGCTTCCTGACGCCCGAGCTTGACCCAGAATTCGCCTTGGATTCCAGAGTTGCCAAGAGATTTGACTTGAATCGCGTGTCTTGTGTGTGTGGTGCAGATTGGCCTTCATGCCGGCATGTCACTTGGCTTTGCCCTGATACCAACTTGCCTGAACACACTTCTGCACCTGCTAATGGTGTCGAAAAGAGGTTGTTGGTGCGTAGCATAGCTCCGCCGCCGCAGCCGCCTGATCTCTTGCCGGATGACGTGCGCCCTCCTGTTGAAATTTGCTCCGCTTTCATTTCGCAGACGGCGCTCTTTGATGGAATGATTTTGGTCGCTACTGATGGTAGCTGCAAAACTCGCCACTCGCAGAAGCGGGCGGCTTGGGGTATCGCGACTGAAAGTCAGGTTTTTGCTTTTCCGATAAAAGGTTGCGACCAGAATATTTTTGCTGCTGAAACCTGGGCCGTGTTTCAAGCTTTGCATGCAGCACATCTCACTGGTGTGAGAGTGCGTGTTCTATGTGACTCACAAGCCGTTGTCTTCGCTGCTGCGACGGTGCGGCGTGGTGGATCTTTGCCACGTTGGGCATCTGGCATGTGGCGCGCCATTGCTTTGCTCAGTCCTGAAAGTGTAGTTTCATGGGTGCCGGCCCACGGCCGCTCCAAAGATTGGACACCGCCAGATGGCCACTCCCCTGCTGTCTGGCGGACTTACAATGACAGAATTGATGCGGCAGTTCAGGCCGTTGCGCAGCCCTGCGCCGATTCTTTGAGTGCTTGGGCTCGTCGAGTCGATGATGCTATGGCTTGGAGTAGTTTTGCTCTTGCAAGACAGAAACAAGCTCTGCTTGATTTGCGTAGGCATGTCGAGTCATCAGCTCTCAGCTGACCTTATGTGCTTGGTGATTCCTTTTATTCAATTTCTGCCTTGTCGGAAACGGGAAGATGTCATCAATGGACTGCACGCCGTGCAGCAGGGTTGGTGGCGAAGCTGTTTGCTTCGAACACTTTTGCGCTTTGGCGCCCCGAAAGTTGCCTCCAGCTACCCACTTCGGTGGGCCCAGGCTGTGGCAACATATAAATGCCACACACACAATCAGAACACCATGGAGTATCAGGTGTTTTCTCGAGATTCTTTCGTTCTTACGTGTGACCTTGGGGTCCTTACAAGTTGTGTAGCTTGCATATGTGAGGGGGTCTATTTTCGAATTTTTGTTCCACAGATGGCGACAGCTATGGGCTTTTACTTCGAATGACAATGAGCTTTTGAGACAGGGCGCGGGTGTTGGGTGCCGGCGCCGGGTGCTGGTCCTGGTGCTGGCTGTGGCGCTGGTGCTGGGTGCTGTGAGCTGGCTGTGGTGCTGGTGGTGGGTGCTGTGAGCTGGCTGCGCGTGTGGTGGAGACAGGATGCCGGTGCTGGGTAGTGCGCGTGGTGGAGACAGTGCGCGTGGTGGAGACTGGGTCTGGGCCTCGTGAGCTGGCGCGCCAGTGCTCGGTGCTGGTGCCCGCTTCTGACATTGAAGTGATAACCGCCGCTTCTGACAGTGAAGGGTGACAAACCGCCGTTTGTAGCAGTGAAGGGCGACCAACCGCCGCTTCTGACAATGAAGTGCCAGCAGTCATGGGCCGCGTGAACTTATGCGCGCAGCAGCATACGGTGTTGTCGCTCGAGCGTTCTTTGTCTATTAGCCCCGTGGGGTATTTACGCTCTTCAGGCTCTGTTTTGGCCGACAGCTGTGTCAAGGGCTGTACTGTTTGCGCGCGTACTTTTGGACGTATAATGTTCTATGCGCAACGTCAGGCTCTCAACCGACCTTTTTTTCAGCATGTTTCAGCATGCTACACGCACAGTAGTCGTCGTCGTGCTGGATACTGCTTGGCCTTGGGCGAGTGAAGCCTACGGGCTTTGCCGTTTGTGCGCATAAACTTATACGCGCAAGATCATACGTTGTTATTCCCAAGGAGGGATAGCTATGGGGTTCTTGCTGCAAAAAAGAATGAGCTGGCTGCACGCGCTTTCGAAAGGGTCTGTGGTCCTGGGTGCTGGTGCTGTGAGCTGGCTGAGCGCACGTTTAAGATGGGCGGCGGCGCTGGTCGGGTGCTGGCGCCGCTGGCGGTGTTGTCAGCTGGCAAAGCGCACCAGTGCTGGTGTCAGCTGGTTGTGCGCTCTGTGGAGGTGCCGTAAGCTGGCTGCGCAGGCTGCGTACATTCTTGTTCCAGCCAGTCGCATGTCAACAGGTCGTGGGATTCTGCCTAGCTATCTGGGTCTATGCTGGTGCAATTTTGTTGTTGATTTTTTCAATTCTGAACTCAAGAAGGCAATGCACCTGGCATTCATCAGGTCAAACGCCAATTGTCAGTTCAAGAATTAAGAAAGCCTTTTAGCTCTCTTAAATTGGCGAGGGACAGTTCAGCCTGGTCAAGTCTACCCAAGGCTTGATCAACGTAAAAATTGTAAAGGGCTTTGAATTGAACACGCTCTTGAAATCCTTGTGTTCGGTAGAGATGCCCTTTGTTACTAGTAGTTTCTTGTTCCTAGTAGTAAGGCCAGGGGCTACTAGTAGCGTCCTTGCTCCTAGTAGCGATGCCCGTGTTACTATGGATGCGGCCTATGGGACCAAGCTCTCAGGCCTGGCTGCCACGTCCTTTATGTTTCTGGACAGATGTCACCAGAGCTGAACAGCGTGCATGGTGTGCTCAGTGAAGCAGAGGCAGGGGCCAAGGGTTTTACGTCGCGGTGTAAGGCTGGTAAGGGCTTTAAAGCACTCGTTTGCGCACTTGAAACCCTGAGTCAGAAGATGATTGCCGCACCCCAGATTGGAAGATGAATGCAAGTTCCCCACCCACCCCTCAGTGTTGGATGATGAGTGCGCAATTGAGGATTTAAAGCGGTGAAGTGCGCAAGTGAGTGCAGTGTCCGGCTAGACAAGATTCCAAGATTCCATGCCTTCCACGTGACTAAGGACAAGGTACCGAGCCTCCAGACATTCTCCAAAGATCATGGTTCTAGGTGTTTTGCCGTATCTGGCGAAAGATCTGGTATCGAACACAGGTGTGCCATTGAGGCACGGTAATACTACCAAGTCGTCTCTGGTACGCTTGTTGATAACTCTGAGGCATCCCGATTCAGAAACGAGTCACACAAACACTATGCCACCAGCTGCTTGCGCAATGTCCAAGTAGCGTCACACAAGGTGGAGCAACTTGTCGTCAACTGTTTTCCAATCTAGAGTTGCTTGCGCCATGCTAATCTTTCCTTGGCTCTGTCAGACTCATCACATTGCTGCTATTAAAAAAACAAATGGTCATGTCATGCCTTACTCCACGATATCAGGTCCTACCATGACTAACATCTATTAAAGCGTTACTGCAGTTACTGTGTTTTTACAAAAGCGTTTGGGAACCAGAAGGCCGAGGCCATGGCTCGATGCGCAAAGCCACGCCTGGACGGCGATTGGGCCCCAAGAACTCCTCAAGAATGTCCCCTAGTAGCGTCCTTGCTCCTAGTAGTATGGCCAGGAACCCCTAGTAGCTTCTTGTTCCTAGTAGCTTCTTGTTACTAGTAGTAGCCCCTAGTAGGGTCCTTGCTCGTACTAGCGATGCCCTTTGTGACTAGTAGCATCCTTGTTACTTGTCTCTCCAAAATCAAGAGAATCTGCAGAATCCTTTTGGCATTTGCGCCTTGGCCTGTTAGGACGCATTGTTGCCTGTATTCTCTGCAAGTGTGCCAGACCAGGACAGTGCCACAAAAGTCTTGAAGATAACTCTTCCTTCGACTTTTAAGATTTGATGTGCTGCGTCTGCTTTCTGTGGGATCTGTGGCTTCAGAAAGCATGTCGAGGATTTTGCGCCTGGCACTGCTTCACCCAAATCTCCTCGACGGTTTTACTTTGATGCGGTTCCGGTAGCTCGGCATAGTTCGACCAATTCTTCCTTTTCATTACTTATCCACTTATATAAGTGTTTTCCGCACGAAATCATCCTGCGACAAGGTTCTTTCTTTTGTGGAGTTCTTTTTTTCGTTCCTACGTTCTCTGGACCAGTTTTGCCATTATGCAAAATTCACAGTAAAGCCTCTTCAGTGCACCAGCTGGCCCAACTCACCCTCTTGAGTGTCTAGCTTCAGTTTTCGCTTCTGCCTTTATGGCAGGTTTTGATTTGTCTGCCTCGCAGCGTTTTCATTTCTTTGCGACCCGGCTTTGACTGCCAAGGAATTTCCCGCCGCAGTTGCTTTCAAAAAGAAGTACGTCCTGTCCGTCTACTTCTTGTCGCCGGAGAGCTATTGCCCAGGGGCCAACAATACACAGCTCAGCCCAAAGCTGCTTGCCTGCCAGTCACTTGATCTTTCAGGTTTCTGATATTGTACTTTTGCGTTCCTTTCTGAGGATGGTGAAACGAGATTTTTCAGCGCAGCATGTATATATTGAAGATGGGACGCATGAAACTCGCGAAGCTGCTTTCAAGCACTATCACTTCACCATGTTATGTGGGGATTTTTCCTCTTCCTCGTTTCCTCCGCTGCCTTTGGTTTACTCTTTGGCATATGTGGCTCACGTGACTCGGTTAAAGAAACATTAGCAATTGGGACATATCAGCATGCTCCGCCGCTCTGTTGCCCTCCGCTGAAGGCCATGGTTCCAGAGTTCATTCACTGGAAATCCAGCAGGATGTTCTTCCACCTTCCTGATGCTGCACAGGGTGTCCGCTCCACTGCTTTTGCTGGCTTGGAAGTGCCACGGACGCAACAGTCGGCACTTTTTGGAGCCGGCAAAACCAGCGATGACCGATTTAGTAAAGAGCAGTTGTGGGAGTGGGAGACAGGCCCCTCTCCACCATGTCAAGGGAGTTCTTCAACACAGCGATAAGCCCCACTCACGGCGGGAACGTTAGTGTTTTAGTTTCAAGCTATGTTATACATGATGCTGGATTAAGTTGTTCATGCTGGGTTCGCATGGGTGTGTGTGGGGGTTTTGTTTGGTGCGTCGCTCTTTTCCAGATGCAAGTTGATATCGGACCTTTGTGTTTCGTGCATTGACTAGTACTAGTACTTGTAAATTATCCGAATCACATTCGCAATATACTTGCTGTTGCATTGCACATCATGTGCGCTGCGAAACCTGTTTTGTGCATCCATCCATCCATCCGTCCATCCATCCGTCCGTCCGTCCGTCCGTCCATCCATCCATCCACCCATCCATCCATCCATGGCTCAAGCCGTCTCAGATCAAGCAGGCCGCCCACCAAGTCCTTCAGGTGCGTCAATCCCCACGCGCACATCGTTCGGTGGCCAGAGATCACCCTCGTGACTGGAGCTTTGCCCGTTATAGAGAAGGACACATTCCACGGCATCGCTACCTCAGGGACAAAGGCACCTACATCATCAATTTTCGGGACTTCCTCACCGGGATTGGGGCAACATCACAGAGGAAGAGCAAGGCCAGATCGAGACAGAGCTTAACATCCTTGCCCTACTTCTGCATCTAGTAGCACACAGTGGACCGCTCCATCCGGCACGATGACATCCGTCAAGTCTCCATCCTGGTGCAGACCTTTTGTGGTGTGTAGCCATGCTCAGTGCACCAACTGGATCTGGAGTGACAAACTGAAGCCAGATACTAGATGTCGTAAGTGTGGACACTGGTGGCCATCCGCAAAGGCAAGGGACAGGGAAGACCCTCCAAGCTGACAGGCCCATGGACCTCCACATGGACTGAGCCGCATGAAACCCCTCAAAAAGACCAAGATCCAAAAGGAAGCATCGACCTGCTTGAGATTGTCTGGAATGGCATGCCAGGTGATGTTCCCCTGAAACGAAGAAAAAGGTCACAGGACTGTGCGTCAGTGCCCAATTTGGTGCGGAGCCTCACCTTCGCAGACGACAACGTGATGCAGGCATGACAGCTCGGGAAAGAGCAAAAGAGCTCTATGACAAGACCAAGGAAGCACTTGATGAGGACCACAAGCAAGTCTACGAACACGCCGTCGAGAGAATCTGTGCCATCTACAAGATCCATGACAAGCCCAAGAGGCCCCAGGCAACCAACGCACAGAACAGCCCACTGAAGATGGCCACCACTGGACCACACAACGAAGTGGATACCAATGTGCCCACTGCAGCACGCGCATCCACCAAGAGCTCACAGCGGCCGCCATTGAGCAGAAGCTTGCTGAGGCGTGTGAAGGAAAGCGCGCCCATCCACCTGCTGGTGAAGCGCACGAACACCAAGAGCGCAAGATTCCAAAGAAGGCAGCCAGAACCCAGCTTATTCAAGAGCTACTCCACAACCAACCACAGGAGCGACAGGACGACAAACACCACTTCCTCGAAACGGCAGGCTACATCAAATGCCAGCACTGTGGGAGCGCCGTCCTCAAACGATCCAAAGAGGCCACATGGACTGAGTTCATCAACAGCCCATGTATCGATGAAACCTACCAGGCCATTGGGCACCCCACACATTGCCTATGGCAATTTGGCACTAAGGTCACCTGCAAGTACTGTGGATTGGCCATCCTCACAGACAAAAACAATCGGCTGATCATCACACACGCCTTACAGAAGGCTTGCAAGGGCGCACCGGTCAAGAAGAGCCCAGGACTGCGAACGTACTTTCCCACCCAGCTCACCACCAGCACGGCCACACCTGCGCGAGCGGCCGCCGGCAGTCAGCCCGAAGACAGCCCCAAAGAGAGGAGGCCACCACTTCAAGCGACCTGCGGCCTAGAGCACTCTTCCCGGAGACTGCCAGCAGCATCTCCGACAGTGCAGAGCCAAACGACAAGCAGGCATCAACAGATGAGACCATGAGCAGCTCAGACAAGGCCGCGCAGGACGACGCACCGGCGCAGGCTGATGTGGCCATGAACACCAGCCTAACCCTGGCTGAGCCGCCGGAGTTTGAAGATGAGCTCTACCAGGTCGACTTTTCCTAAGCAGGGCGGCCACCTCCACGGGTCAAAACGACCCAAGAGCACATGCAGCAAAGGAGCCACCCAAAAAACAAATAAAGCATCCATCCATCCATCCATCCATCCATCCATCCATCCTGCGCGCTGTGAACCATTGGAAATATTATGCTATAACATGTGCGTGCGTGGTGGTTTATGGTTTTTTCTGCTGAGCAGCTGTGCCGAGGTGTTTTATGCTCGCGCAGTTGTTATTGCTTTGTGGTTGTGTTTCTGTGCCCTCCTCCATCTGTTCCAAACTGTGGGCAAACTCTGCTGCAAAGCGAGCCGCTGAAATGAAAGGCATGGCATTGGCGTGGTGTTGCAAAGAGTTTGCACATGTCATACAAAACCCTCATAGAAAACTGTATTTTACAACGCATGCGAACTGAAACCTAGAGTCCATGCTGGGCTCCATCAGATCATCAACAAACTGCCAAAACGACCGGGTTATGCTGCAACCTTCTTGACTACAAGTAACAAGACCATCGCTACTAGTAACAAGGGCATTATTACTAGTAGCTAGGAGCTACTAGTAACATCCCACGTTTCGCAGGATGCGTATATGAGGCATTCCATTGAGGATCGGCTGGGGAAAACTATTGAACAACCGCAGACAACCGTTGCACTTGCACAACGCTCATTCATTTCCAGGATTTTTACAATCCACAATTTGATAGCTGAAAGAGGCCAGCAAAGATTGGAACTACATCTTGTTGAGTTGATTCATCAATTCTTACCATTGCCAGCTGTCCATGTCTTGTTGACAGGTTCTGTCCAAGCTCACTCAGGCCTACTTGCACAATCTGATGACGTCTCCATCAAAAGAGAAGATCATGGAGTTCAAGGAAACATTTACCCTTTTGTGTCAGGCCGATTCGACAATGTGCCCGGTCCACTTCTCTTCTCATGTTGTTTCCCTATCTAGGTGAACTCTTCGGAAACTTCGAGCAAACTGAACGACAGCACAGGTGAAAACTGACAAATCTGATTTCTGACGGAATTGTCCGCTTTGCAGGTGCTGTTTCGCTACCGCTATGCAGAGCCCATCCGACGCCGTGCGGAGGTCGCCGCTTGTGGGTTGTGCGATGCTCGTGCCCGGGAGGAGCGACGCTCCGTGGCCAGCGCTGATGAGGTCAGAACCAAGGAACAGGAGTTTAAGTTAAGGACTTTAAACGCATCAAGCTGAAAAGCAAGAGAGAGAGAGAGAGAGAAGATGAGAGAGCCACTTGTGAGAGGGAGAAACAGCAGGGAGAGAGGTAAAAAGACATCCAAAGTCACTGATAGCCTGTCAGTCTGATAGACCAAAAGGAACGATTCGAAACACAAGGAAAATTGCCAAAGGAAGGAAGGAAGAAAGGTTTAAAGGTCTACAAGGAAGAGCGACGCAATGCCGATCAGGCCGTAGCAGTGGCGTTTTGCATCATGAGCCGACGTAGCGCCCACGAGCTGCGGAAGGTGGGAAGACGGAGGGTGATTCCGTTTCGGCAGCGTGACATCGAGTCAACTAAAGAAGAACACATCGTATATTTAGATAAAGGAAGACGCTGAAGATGCTCTAAAGAAAAAACGAAGGAAACAGAAAAAGGAAAGGTCTAAGAAAAGGAGAAAGACATAATACGACAAAAGGATCAAACGTCTCAAGAGAAAGGACAACAACATGGAAGAACGGTCTTGAGCATAGCAATAAACTAGAAACAGGAAGAACGACCTAAAAGAAAACAAAGAACAAAACGACATAAGAAGAAGAAAACAGGCGAAAAGAAAACAGCAGAAAGAAACCGATAATGGTCAAAAGGAAGAAAGGTCTAAAGACAATTTGCAAAAGACAAGGAAGCGTTCAAACAACAGGAAGAACGGTCAAAAGACAAGACGGAAGACACATGCAAAGACACAGAAGAGCAAACAGAGCAAATGGGTTGAGTAGAGCGTTTTCGCCGAGTGGCCATGATACCGCTCAAGTGGACGGCAGGATGTCGAGTTGCGTGTATGGTTCTTCCCCAGCAAAGGGTCTGATCAGGGTCCCGGCAGTAATGTTGGACACTCTCACGGTGCTTCTGGGAACTTCTTGACTGCGAAACGTTGCTTTGCGTGTCTACGAGGGCTGACTTTCGTCGCTCCCTTCTCAGGTCTAAAGAATGACAACATCTAAGGAAAGAGAAATGGATGCAAAAAAGAAGAACAATTTCAAGCAAACAAGAAAATGCAATCAAAGCGAAAACCAATTAAAAGAACATTACAAAGGAAGAAAGGCTCAAGAGGAAATCCAAACTAGACAACAGTGTGGCCTGAGAGCATTGCCCTCCCCAGTGGCACGGCGCCACGCAAACGCACCTTCCACCAAGACTGTGCAAATCCGAATGGCGCAGCGACATCGCGGACGTAATTTCGCCACACCGTCTGTCACAGACAAAAAGCAACCGCTTCTGAGGCCAGCCCCGCAATGCTGTTTCCCCTACTACATTTGCACTACAAACTGGCCACTTCCGAGTCCAGCTCCGAAAAGCACTATCCCATACTACATTTTTACTACAAACTGGCCACGTCTGAGAAGTGAAGCGCCAAGTCTCCAAATTGAGCGTTTCGTTCGAGACTTCCTCCAAAAGTCACGCGTCAAAGCCTCCAAAGCGAGCGTTTTGCGCGAGATGTCCTCCAAAAGCAAAGCGCCAAGTCTCCAAAATGAGCGTTTCCTACAAGACTTCACCTCCAAAAGTCACGCGTCAAGTCTCCAAAACGAGCGTTTCGTGGCTCCAAAGTCTCCAAACCAAGCGTTTCGTACAAGACTTCCTCCAAAAGTGAAGCGCCAAGTCTTCAAAACAAGCGTTTCCTCCAAAAGTCACGCATCCAAGTCTCCAAAACGAGCGTTTCGTACGAGACTTCGTGCAAAAGTCACGCATCCAAGTCTCCAAAACGAGCGTTTCGTACGAGTCCCTCCAAAAGTCAAGCGTCAAAGTCTCAAAAAGTAGCAAAAACCCTAGCGTTTGAGCGCTCGACCCACCCGATCTCCGCAGAGGGTTGCCCGACGACAAACAAAAGTTAGCAAAAGCCCTAGGGTTTGAGCGCTCGACCCACCCGATCTCCGCAGAGGGTTTGCCCGACGAAAAACAAATCCGCATTTCGCCACACGTTTGAGCACTCGACTCACCCGATCTCCGCAGAGGGTTGCCCGACGAAAAGCAAAAGTAACAAAAACCCTAGCGTTTGAGCGCTCGACCCACCCGATCTCCGCAGAGGGTTGCCCGGCGAAAAACAAAAGTAGCAAAAGCCCTAGCGCTTGAGCGCTCGATCCGCCCGATCTCCGCAGAGGGTTGAATCAAAATTTTCAAAAGTTGCAAAAACCCTCACGGACGCGCGCGAGCTTCGCAGAGGGTCGCCTCTCGATTGACCTGGCCCGCGCCACCCCGCCGCCTTAAGAGAGAAGAGAGAGATGTGGATGGAGATGCTCGTGTGATAAGATTTGTATGATTATGCTCGTATTACGAAGCTCTTATCTTGATGCTCATGTCTTGATACTCATGTGATCACACTTACGCTCGCGTTATGATACTCATGTGTTCAAGCGATAAGGCTTGTGTCATTACGCTCGCGCGATACTGCTCTTATCTAGATTATCTTGATGCTCATGTCTTGATGCTCATGTGATAAGACTTGTATGACTTGTATGATCGCGCTCGTGTGATACTGCTCTTATCTTGATGCTCATGTCTTGACGCTCATCTTGATGCTCATGTAATGAAGGAATATGATGAAGGTATCTGCGTTTAAGAAAAACCCTTCGCAATCGCTCTTGGGAAAAAAAAGGAAGAACAATCGCAAAAGGCGAACCAAGAAGAAAAGCAAGTAAAACATATCCAGGCAAAAGATTCCAAACAGTTTGTGTGAGGTCTATAAGCAGAAAGTCTAGAGATCTAGACACATTGGGGTCTGGACGAGTGATGGTGGTGATGAAGGGAGTGAGTGTGAGAGGGAGTGAGAGTGAAGGTGGGTGTGTGTGTGAGAGTGAGAGTGAGAGTGGGTGTGAGTGGGAGTGGGAGTGGGAGAGTCATTGAGAGTGAGTGAGAGTGAGAGGGAGTGTGGGTGAGTGTGAGAGTGAGAGGGAGGGTGAGTGTGAGTGAGAGCGTATGCGAGTGAAGAGTGAGTGTGAGTGAGATTGCGAGTGGGAGAGTGAGTGTCTGCGTGTGAGTGTGAGCGCGAGTGAGTGTGAATGTGATTGTGAGAGTGAGAGTGAGTGTGAGTGAGAGTGAGTGTGGGTGAGAGTGAGTGAGAGTGAGTGAAAGTGAAGGTGGGTGTGAGTGAGGGTGAAGGTGAGGGTGAGAGCTGTGAGTGTGAGTGAGAGTGAGAGTGAGTGTGAGGAGTGAGTGAGTGAGTGAGTGAGTGAGTGAATGAGCGAGTGAGTGAGTGAGTGAGAGAGTGAGTGAGACTGGGAGTGAAACTGAGAGTGAGAGAGTGAGAGAGTGAGCATCTGAAAGCGCAAAGTACTGCTCCTGCTACGAAATCTGCGTGTCGAGGTTCACAAAGTGCTGCGCCTGCCACGAAACCTACACATCGAGGTTCACAAAGTGCTTTGCCTGCTACGAAATCTGCACTTGCCTGCCAGGTGGTGAGAGAAACCTGGGGAAGAGGGCTTGCGGGCAAAGCGCCAGCCGTCGTGCAACGCTTCTTCGTTGGCAAGGCCGCCAATTCGCGACTTAGCTGTGACCTCATGACATGTCAAAGGTTGTGCACCAGAAAAGACGAGAGGATTGGGAGTTGTCCTCTCGGATGGGTGCTGGACATGTCGAAGTGAGGTCACATGCGCTGCATGACTCAAGTGCGGGAGACGTTGTGGAGCTGCCAGTTGTGGAGTCCTACCGCACGCTGAACATCAAGGCTTTGTCCATGTTGTCCTGGGCTCACCGAAGATATCCGAACTTGCAGTGGTTGGTTAGACACGATGATGATGTTTATCTTCGAGCTCCTGCATTGTTAGCCCAGCTTGCGAGCAGACCTCCGATTCGCTATCTCTGGGGCATGTTCGACCACGGCTCAAGCCCTGTTCGAGATCCAGCACATCAGCATTACAATTCCTATGAGCAATTTCCAAAGTCACACGACTCAATAAAGGCTTGGAGGCCACTGCTTTGGCTAGAGAGAACACTAAGAATACTTCTTTTTTGGAAAACATCTTACAAGCACTCTACGAGAACTCCTTTTGGACCAAGAACCGTGCTTTGTCTTTCTAATAATCATTGAAGAGACAGTTTAGAGCCAAGGCAAGATCACCCGGCATGGGGCGACATTTTTCCACCCTATGTACCTTGGTGCTGTGTGATCGTTGCATATGTGTTTTTTACTTCCTGTTGTTGGTTTCCCCTTTTGAGGCCAGAGGTCTGCTTTGGGCAATGTCTGCAGACTTGGTTGCCGCCACTGTCAAAGAGTTTATGGCCGATCGTGAGGTCCCTTAATTACCTGGGGAAGAATGTCCAATGCCATATTGCCATATTATCCCTGGGCCTTTGGTTGGAGGCCATCGCTACTAGGCTGGAGGCTATTGCTATTAGGTTGGAGGCCATCGCTATGCCTTTAGCGCGTTGCAACTGCGGTGACTGTCATGCAGTGCGATGTCTTGGAAATGGACTCAAGCTGCCAGGAGCAGCCAGATGTGCCGCTTGACGAGGCATCGGGCTTTGACATCGTGAGCAACTGTAATTACGAGAACAAGTTAGGAAACAGAATGTAAGGCCCTTACATCTACATTCTTGTATTCCTCTCTTTTCTCGCATTCTCGTCTTCTTCAAGGCATAGGTCCTAGGTCTTTGCGTCCCCAAGGCAGCTGCAGATCATTTGCCTCACCCTGATGACCCTGCAGTTGGAGTGTTGATTGCCGGCTTGGCAGCGAGCCCAGAATGCTCCTCAGTGTGCGGACACCTATCAACAAATCTGAGAAGCATCCTAGTAGCGTCCTTGTTCCTAGTAGTAAGGCCAGGAGCCCCTAGTAGCGATGCCAGGAGCCCCTAGTAGCGTCCAATCTGAGGTGCAGCGAGGCATGTCTATCAATTTGGATGACCGAGACTTCAACTCCTTCTCGTTGAACCCATCTTGTGCTTTGGCACAAGGGCGATTTCTTTGCGAGCAACTGAATGTTCGTTTAAGCTTTCTAAGAGTTAATTTTCTTTGGCTCTTTGCTTTTTGTACTATTGTACAATCTTGCTTGTCTTGAAGCAAGACAAGGCAATTCGACATTCTCCAATATCCACAATCGGACGTGGGACATAGCCTCAGAAAGCGCAGCTAAGAAGTCCTACTGTAAATATTATTGGACGAGTTGTTGCCTTGAGAAGCTGTTGCTGCATGTTGCCATAATAGCGATGGCCTCCACCCTAAGAGCGATGGCCTCCAACCTAGTAGCATTCTTGTTACTAGTAATGCCAGGAGCTACTAGTAGCGTTCTTGCTACTAGTAGCGATGCCCTTGTTACTAGAAGCGATGGCCTCCAACCTATCCGCTGTGCTCAGCGATGTGAGGTGGTCCACCACGTGCAGCCAGAAACAATGCGATGCATGTGGGACTTGGACAATGCCGAAGAAGCGAAACAGATCTCCTCCCAGAACTCCGACACTTGCGAGCAGATTCGGAATTCAATCGGACAACCAGAAAAACAACTAGATGTTGTTTGAAGATTCTGAAAGATGTGTGCATCTGCATAGAGGTGTTCATTAAAAATGGGGTGCTCTCCACTCCAAAAGTCCTACAGCTTGCAGGTAATTGACGCATCCAGCCGGATCTTTCCAGACTTGTGCCTTTGTTCGACAGATGTTGTAGAGGAGCACGATGGGGAAGAGGACAGGAACGCGATTTCAATCATACAGACCCCAGACGCTGCTTGCTCACTCTTTCTGCTAGTTTTTGCACAAAAGCAATTAGTAAATCAAGAAAAGGAGAGGAACATAAGGAAGAACGGAAGACAACGAAATGTGAAAATCCTTGAAGAAAGATTGTTCCTGCAAGAGACTCCTTGTCGCGTTTGTAGTGGTGGTAGTCGTGGTGGTGGTAGTAGTTGGAGTAGTGGTAATGGTAGAGTGGTAGTGTTCGTGTGGTAGTGTAATGTGCGCTGTAAGGTTCACAAAGTGCTGCGCCTGCCACGAAATCTGCACTTCCAGGTGCATTCGTTCGGTAATTACATCATAAATGCATCCTCCAAATTCTGAAAACAATTCGGTACATCATAAATGCATCCTCCTGCCGCGATTCACTGCACCTGCCACGAAATCAGAGTGCGCAGTGTGAGCAGCCTCAACCCCTCCCATAAGAACCCCTAAGTCTAAGTGTGACTACACTATTTGGGGAAGGGCATCATGACAAACCAGAACATATAGGAAATGAGAGCAACTTTGAGGAAACGCCAAACGCTTCTTGCTCCATTCACTGTTTGTTTTGCCGAAGCAGCGAGTCAGGAACCCTTTTGGTACGACAAGTCCCGGTTCAACAATGCACGATAGAACGTCGGAAAAAAGATACTTCTTTTCCACAGCATTTTGAATTTGCTCCATTGTAGGATCACAACACGTGACATGCGTATCACAATTTTTTGGAGGCCAAAGATTGTGTCAACTCACGTGCGATACTTAATTGGAATTGTCTTGCAACGGGAACCAAAACAGCACTGCAAGATCCAAGTTGAACCAAGGCATTTGTTTTCATATTCATTCATTTCACAAGCGTTGTGATGTTTACTTATTGCGAGGCAAGCTTTTGGGAGGAGGTGCAGCGTCGCCGCCAAGAGGAGCGGCAAAGGCGAACTCAAGGACTCAACTTTAAGACTGTTCATCTCTCAGAAGTGTCAAAGACGAATTGAAACTGAATCAGAAGGAGATGTTACATGTGTTTTTTACAAATGAAGTGCTAGAGCTTGCGAAGTCTGGAAGCCAACTGGTCGCCAAGCTGCAAGACCGCTATGTAGCCCGTTTTTTGTTTGTTGTGCGGGTTCTTTGTTTTCGTTTGTTTTCTATCTCAGACATGCACTTGACCAGGCAGCAACCAGCCAGTGAGGCAAGTTACTCAGGGGCAAACGTTGGAAAGCAATACAGTCTTGAGAGCAGTAAGGTGCAGTGTGAAAGCTGCGGATTACTGAACGGCACAGAAAAGAATAAGAGAAAACAAATCCAAAGGTCCAAAGGATTAAAGGAAACACAAGACACCAATAGAAAAATAGAAACATGCTTGTTGAAAGTAGCAAGGGGGTAGTTCAGCGGAAGAAGCCGATTACGGTAGCGCAAACAATCTAGGAGAAACTGATGACTTTGTCCCAGGTGCAACTCCTCCTGCAGGAAGTCAGGAAAGAGCGCAGTGCTCGCGACGTTGGGTTCTCGATGCAAACATATGTAATTAAATGATGTCGTTGGGTTCTCGTTCTAAATGACGATTCGCCAAAAGTCTGCGAGGTTCAAAGTCCTTCAGGCGAGTCATTTTGATTCTTTGGTCTTTGAGCTGCATCAGTCGCTTCCATAGCTGCAATTTGACCAAGCATCCAGCTGCGAAGAAGGGGATACGAACAATATCACAGATTCATCGTTTCTGAAAGCATTCTTTAACCTGAAACAAACACAGTCACAGGACATTCAGGTGAGACACTTCAGAATTGTGAAAAGACTAGAAGTGCGAACAGTATGCAATTGAGGATGCAATAGAGTGTCGCAATGTGTCGACTTTATGAGGGCCTTGTTGGTTGTCGCTAGCCGTTTGAATATCTTTAACACACCATGTGTATCCATTTGTTTATATATATATATATATGTATGTATATTTCGAAACAACACACATTCACATTTGGTTTTTATGGAGTCCAAAAGCAGATCACTGTTTGCCGAGTGGGTCTCCGTTCCTGTGTGAGACAGCTAACAGGGTGCAGCCTCAACAACACTCGCAAGAAAGACGAAAGGAAAGGAGGAACAAGGAGAGACAAGGAGGAAAGGGAGGAAAGGGAGGAAGAAGGAAACGGAGAAAAGGACAGTTTTCAGGGGGCCAATGCAGCCGCGCCTGGCCAGACACTTGCATTGTGTGACGCCGAAGAGGAGCAAACAAGTCGTGAGAATTGACGCAGTCTATTTTGAAAACGAACGGTGACAGGTAGGGAAAGGCCATCGCTTCTAGATTCTAGGTTGGAGGCCATTCTTGTTACGTGGAGGCCATCACTTCTAGGTTGGAAGCCATCGCTATTTTCTATTGAAGTTGTTGATCTTGAGGGAGAACCGTCAGAAGAGAGATCGCCATATCGCCGAGACGCAATGCGTTTGAGCATTGCAACAAACTTACAAAGCACATTGTCACCACATCACATTTGCGCATCACATCGTCACGTTGCGCATCACCCCGAATGCTGGACTTTAGTGTTAAAATTCTTATTGGCAGCTTCCGGGCTTTGCTGAAGATCATTGAGTATAATTTATAATTGAGTAATTATACAACTATTTGAGTCTGGTCATATACACATGTGACTCTGAATGTGTATACATATTACTTATATATATATATATGCTTCCCCCCCCAATGGACCTACCTTTTCCTAGTTTGGGCAGACGTTGTGGATTGGTTTTGCAGAGTTGAAGACATGTGCAGAAGAATTCATTTTGCACCGCAGAGTGTTCATTGCTGATGTTGCAGAGGGATGCTGACGCTGAAGATCTTTTTCCCCAGATACTCATGTGCGGAGATTGCTACAGGAGTTTGATCATGAACCATTGACATAAGACACCTGTATGAGCCCAGAGATCCTTGCCCATCTGCCAGTACTCGTACTGAGCAGAGCGCACTTTGGCACGCAAGGTTGCAGTCCCAACCTTTGAGGGCTCGTTTGAGATATGAATGCGGTCTTCAAGAAATCTCCAAGCTCTGTCAATGATCTGGGTGCCAGCTTTGACCTGGATAGACTTGCCGGTTTTCGGACAAGTGTGAGCCTGGAGCAGCACGCCTTGCAACTTGGCCTTATAGGACTTCGCCGAGTCAGTGTGCAAGATGATCACTCTGCCTTGAAGGTGTGTTTTTGCCAAAGGAGTCCATTCTACCTCGCGGATGGGAGTCCCGGAGCACGTTTCTCAGGCGACTTGGGCTTGAGGCGATGCAAGAGCCTCCCATTCCACGGGATTCGCATCTCGGCCCAGGTCTTTCTTGTCGAACGTGGCCTCATCTGCTTCGACATCCTTCCAGACGGTTCCCGTGCCAAAGACTATCTTCGTGTCGCGCTCTTCCACCCATGATTTCCGTAGATCTCGCAACCGCTTGGCCATGTCCTGCACGACTTTGTGGTTGCAGTCAAGAATGTGGTGGATGGCTGTGTGAGGGAGACGTTGCAACAGCAAGTACAAGGTGGCAGCTTGTTGCTGCAGAGTAGACGACCGTCTCCCATCGACTAATAGTGGATGAAGATAATGCGGGCTCAACCAGACTTGACACCCTTTACGATTGCACCGATGTTTGGGCATAGCGTTCGCTTGGCAACAAAGAAGAGGAGACCAGTCCCTTTGCGGCACCTCGGACATGTTTTGCTTTCACACTTTGGCAAGAGCCCATCTTGTCGCAAAGTTCCATTGCGAGCTTATCCCGGCCCGCTATTTCTCGATCAGCCAGCCACGACTACGACTACGACTACGACTACGACTACTACGACTACGACTACGACTACTACTACTACTACTACTACGACTACGACTACGACTACGACTACTACTACTACTACTACTAGTCTAGTACTACTACTACTACTACTACTTGGCCGGCCGGCCGGCCGCTATGGCCAGCCGGCCGGCCGGCCGCTATTTGGCCAGCCGGCCGGCCGGCTGGTCGCGAAATAGCAGGCCGGGTTGCCCGCGCTGTCCAAAGTTCGTACAAGTTGCATGTTGGTCTCTGGCAAAAGATTCCACAAAGTCCTTTTCCACATCAATCGATCATTCTTCTGACCCATGTAGCTTTTCATCACCCGCACATACTCCACCGATTGCCAAGCGCTTGGAGTTGCAAAAGGACCTTGAGAGGCAATGCTATACGGAGGACGTGAACCATGCACTGCACGTGTATCATCCGAGCAGACACGACGTAGTGATGGCGACCGACATGACGTTGTGACATTTCAGAGACGGGAAATGGACATGAAACTGTTGAGCCTGATATTTCGAAAGGTTACGTATTAGTTTGCAAAAAGACATGTGACGAATCTGTTGTTTGACAGTAACCTGCAAGAAAAGGGCACACTGCAGTAGCATTTTTTCACAGAACTAAATCTGTCAGCGTACTCTGCCTATGGTACTGTAAAGCACTGCGTCAAGCCCACCTATCTACTTACTTCAGACTGCCGCAGTTGTGGCCCATGAAAGCAGCAGCTTCCTCATCAGCGACCGTATCTTCAAAGACATCAGGACCATCATTGCACTCCTCTACTTCCATGAGCGCTTCCTCGGAATCTTTCACAAGAGCTTCTAATGTGGCCATCCCATTCGCATCCGATTGTGCAAGTTCCTGCGATGGACGGGCTGCGCTTGGAACGCGCTCGGCGGCCTGGGTAGACGAAGGATCATGGATATAATCTTGGATGTGTTCGAAATCTGCAAGCTTGTTGACTCCTTGGCCCATCAAGTCTTGTTCCTGGCGCACATCTGAGTCGAAAGTATCACTAGTCTCCAAAACTCCCCCCTTGTATTTTCCATATAGGGGCTTGTCTTTCTCAGACAAAAGGTGGATGACCGCCTCCTTGTTCTCAGTTGGCAGACGCAAGTAGAGGGCAGAAGCAGTGAAGATGAAGATGCTGGTGTGCCTCAGTACTGCGAGGACATCGTTCTTTTCTCGCTGGCGATGAGGTCATCTACAAAAAAGGAACTGACCACAAGATAAAGTGCTGCCCGAATGGCGCTCTGCTTGTCAGCGAGTGTCATTGTACCTCGACTCAACTGTCCCATCTTCATCGGCTGTGAGGATTCTCTTCAAATCAGCGATGCTCACCTTGCTGCGGGTGGGATCGTCTAGGAAAAGCCTTCTTGCACTTGCGGAGCCTTGTGCCTGAAGTTGTCCAAAGATTTCGCTCGACGCCATCCGGCTGGACCGACGGACATGGTATCTTCCCACTGCCATGGTGAGAACGATCGCGAATGGTGTTTTTGCCCACCCCTGGACATCCGAGAAGCATGATGCCAAAATTCATCAGAAGTGGAAACATGTGAGGTAGCAGAACCTGGTGCAAGAAGGGTTTTGGGCTGAATAGGCGAGAGGAAAATCTGTCATGGAGACAGCTCCTCCAAGGCCCTTGCTCTTGTTCGGACGCATGATGCGTACCTTGTGCTCAGGCGAAGTGCCGGAATTAGGCTTGATGTTGACCAAAGCACACAAAGTCTGTTCATTTTTGGCAGCGCGTTCTGGGGCATACTCGTTGATAAAGTTGACGCCTTCCTCCAATTCGTCGTTGGACGGGGTCCACTGAATCATTGGTGACCTTCTCCATCACGCTGCGCCACCTCACTGTTATCCGCCTAACTGATTCAGGAGCCACTGCGCGCCCTTCTTCACGTTCCAAGGACCGGGTCGATGGACTGGAACCAATGCCCTGCAGGTGGAATTGCCGATCTGATACGAGACAGGGCGTGGAAGATAGATGACCATTGAGCGCATGGACGGCTTCGTTCTCCTCCTTGATGTAGATCAGATCCATCGTGGCTCAGGGAAGCATTGAACTTGATAGGGCTGGTAGGCTGTCTATTTCGCCTTCCGATACCCTTTCCCCAATGGCCGCTGGCTCTCCACAATTCTCGATACCAAGATGAATATCGAAGAGCAAGGTGATAGATTTCACAGCTCTGGAACAGGGCCTACACGCATTGTCAGCAAAGTCGCTCAAAGCAATGGGTTCGGAGCAGTTCATCAGACCAACCAATGCTTCCTGTAACGGCTTCAGCTGCCATTGTTTCGTGCCGAGTGCTTCCATAGCCTGGAGCGAGACACTGAATGGTAGTATGTGTGGTCATTGGGAAGTGCGCGAGAAAAGACAGCCACAAGCAAGACACATGCATTTTTGAATACTATGGAACATTGCAAAAATTGCAATTTCTTGCAAGTCAACTCTGCGCTAAGTACAGGATCCAAGATTCCAGATGCAAGAGTTTAGATGATTTAGTCTAATACTTAGCCCTTGATAGAAGACAGAGTGGGAACTCTTGGTTTTGAAGTTTCAGGCGTGACCAAAGGCATATATCACGCAAGCGTGTCTTTATGCAAGTTGCCCTAGGCCAGCCCACAGCAGCTGCATCTTTTCACGCACCGCGCCAAGCGCCCAGCATCAATGGCCAAGGGCCAGGAGCAGGCGCATCTCGGTCCAGCGTCACTTGCAATCGTCTTCCGCAATGGCTCTGCGCAGCTGCGCATTCTCTTCCTCCAAGCCCTTGCAGAGGAGCGTGACGAATCTCTTGGTGGCGCTCCACTGCCTTCTCCAATTCGCCAATGTAGCGGCGAAGAGCTGTTTGTTCGTAGAGGAAGAAGAGCGTGAGGAGGAAGAGCTAGACGATGAGGACGAATTGCTCGAGAGTTGCTTGCCAACTTGCCATCGGCCTTGGAGGACGACGACGGGCCAGGGGCACGGGGACGTCTAGAGGAAGAGGCGTGTCTTGACCTAGAACGACTTCTCCTGTCTTCCAGAGCTAACAAAGGTGTTTGTGCTGAAGTACTCCCTCGGCAGCCGCGCTTGGGTTGGGCCAGGTTGGGACAAAGACGCTCCATGGCATCCACGGTCCACGCCAGTAGGCAAGCCCAGTTGCGCGTGGACAGTGACCATCGCCGAAGCCAAAGCTTCCTTGGTCACAGCAACATCTTGTGGTGTAGGGCGTGGTGCAGGGTCCTCTCTGATCCTGGTTTGGTACGGGCGCTAGTCGGATCGTGGCCCCTTCGCCGGTCATGTTGACTCTGCCGTAGACTCGCATGGACATGGCAGGAAAAGTAGGTTGCCTGGAGATGCGAAAGTTCAATGCAAGATGGCTACATGGAACGGGCTTGTGACTACCTGGGTCGTGGCGCGCGCAAGTTCTATGAGAAGCATCAGTCACAGACATGTCAAACACTTCGAGGGTATGACATTAATTATCCACAGTTTAAAAATTGCGAACGGGCTTGTGCATACTTTGGTCCTGGTGTGCGCAAGTTCTATGAGAAGCATCAGTCGCAGACATTTCAAATACACATCGAGGGTATGATATTATCAACAGTTTAGAAATTGCTGGGGATCCAAGAAGTTCTAGTTTAATCTTGAATCATGAACCCGGGGCTGGCGATCCAAGAAGTTCTATTTGAATCTTGAATCTTGAATCTTGAAGCCTGGGCTGGGGATCCAAGAAGTTCTATTTGAATCTTGAATCCTGGGCTGGGGGCCCAAGAAGTTCTATTTGAATCTTGAATCTTGAATCCTGGGCTGGGGATCCAAGAAGTTCTAATTGAGTCTTGAATCTTGAATCCTGGGCTGGGAATCCAAGAAGTTCTATTTGAATCTTGAACTTTGAATCCTGGGATCCAAGAAGTTCCATTCTTGAATCTTGGAGCCTTGTACTTAGCACAAATTTGGCCAAAGAAAAACTGCAATTTCTTGGAATTTTTCGTCGTCTGCACTCGAAGGACAAAAGTTTGCTTGAAGCAGGTCCAAACTGGCGTATTAATTCCAAACCTCAAATTGTATCAAAAGCTGCAAATTAAATACAATCAAAATCGAGAAAAAGGTAGGTTTATAGGGGGGCACCAACGGTTATATCTTGGTTGGTTGTACATGCGAGATCGGTAGACGTAAGGCATATTGCGAACGAACTTGATGCTAGGGAGCGAGGCCACAGGTCCATCTGAGACTCGTGTGTGGGACCCAGACGAAGAGATCTCGATATCCGGCAGCATGTGTGCCTCTTCACTCAACGTCAACGTGTGTGTGTGAGTTTCTGTGCTAATCTGCCAACTTTGGAAGCAAAGGCGAAACATTAATCCTAGGTTGGAGGCCATCGCTAGTAGGTTGGAGGCCATTGCTAGTAGGTTGGATGCCATCGCTAGTAGGTTGGAGGCCATCACTAGTAGGTTGGAGGCCATCGCTAGTAGGTTGGAGGCCATCGCCTTCGCTATTAGGTTGGAGGTCATCGCCACTAGGTTGGAGGCCATCGCTATTAGGTTGGAGGCCATTGCTATTAGGTTGGAGGCCATCGCTAGTGGGTTGGAGGCCATTACTATTAGGTTGGAGGCCATCGCTATTAGGTTGGAGGTCATCGCTTCTAGGTTGGGGGCCATCGCTTCTAGGTTTGAGGCCGTCGCTATGAGGAGGAGGCCATCGTTTCCAGGTTGGAGGCGCTATTAGGAGGAGGCCATTGCTTCTAGGTTGGAGCCTTGGGGGGTAGGAACGTTGTTGTTGTCGTCAAGGCATGCAGCTCTTCCCCTCCACGCCAGGTGAGTGAGGCTGGAACTCAAACCTAACAGTCAAAGATATTCATAGGATGTCAACGTGACTTGAACCAATTTCAATTTGTTTAAAGTTGACAGGTGCAACAAATCCTGGCCGAAGTTCGACAAGAGAGGTTGGTCGCAGGCAAAGTTTCTCCAGGCGTGTGATCAGATCAATCTGGTTTTAAAGCGCCTTTGGATATGTCCACGTTTGTCAGCCTCCGCTCCAACAAAGCCTACGAAGAAAGAACGAGCAGAACCAAGAAAGGCGCCTTTCTGCTGGCTCTCAGATCACTCAAACCGTTATTTTTTCCAGATACCAAAGCGTCAAGAGCAAGAACCGTTCTGTACACAGGTTTCTGCCGTTTCCCCTGTCCGGAAGCAGCTTTTCGAGCGCACGCTGCCGGCGCCACGTGTGCCACGCGTGCCACGTGTGCCACGTGTGTCACACGTCCCACTTTCACCGCCGCGGGTGCTGTCCCAAAGTTTGAAGACTTCGAAGACCGAAGAGACGACCTTGGGGCGAAACAGCAGAAGCTCCACCAGGATTGGCGCGAAATGGCAGTCAATTAGAGCATGCTACAGCTCTGGTAAACGGTGTTTGCAAGAGACATCAAGAGACTGAGACATTCCCCGTTGAAGAAAAAACTATTAGGTTGGAGTGCAAGGACGCTACTAGGGGCTCCTGGCCTTACTACTAGGAGCAAGAAGCTACTAGGGGCCCCTGGCATCGCTACTAGGGGCGAGGAGGGGCAAGAACGCGTGAAGAAATTGTGTGAATAAAAAGCCCCGTTGAAGGAGAGAGAGCCCGCCGCCTACAAGGCGCCATGAACTGGGATCTTTGGGCCGGTGCACTGGGAGCTGGTCTGCCCAACTTCGCAAGGAGCCAAGCGGCCACACGTTGCCGCTGTATTTGCCTACACACCCTGCGGGCCCATCCTGCCACACTCAGGCAGTTACTCACCGACTGGAGCTCAAGATGAGCCAGAAGTTGGCGATCGATTTGGTAAAACTGTGGTGCGGGTAGGGGTCTGAGTTGGCTTTGAACAGGAGTTGCCACCAAACTCTGAACAAACAAACTCAGCCAAGCTTTTCCTTGGCGTGAGGCATATCCGGCAGGTGGTTGGGACAATCGAACGAGCTGCCCGACTTACTTTGATGAATTTCCTGGTGGAGCCACTTGACCTTCAAATGAAAAACCATATGAAAAAGGCAAGGTGTTTGGGTCCCAATTGGAAACATTGAATTTAATAAGGCCTCTACGAAGGTGGCCCAATCAAACACCTTCCCTTTGTTTCTCCCTTCTTTGCCAAGTCAATTACGGACGCAATTGTCGCAACGCCCTGACGATCAAGACGCATGATTTTTTTATCGTGCTTTTCCTGCGATTTAGTCTTTTGTGATCGTCTTTGCGATTTTTGCAAGGTAATCAAGCGGCATACTGTAAACGAGGCCCATTGCAAAGGAATTCAAAAGCTCGTTAGGAAGAGCGAGTTGTGGTTTGAAGCAGCGACGTCGTAGAGTACACGCATGACAGGGTTAGCTCAATTGGTCGCCGCCCCATTTATTGACTTGGCTCTCTTTGGGTATGGCTGAGCAGCAGGGTACACGGTTTTGCGCGAAGTTTGTACTTGATGCAGACTTGTGACTCTTCTGTGTCTTAAAAGCATTATTCAGGCTTCGTGCCCAAGTTTGCGGCTCTCGAGAACTTCCAGGCTCGATCTCCATCTCTCTCTCTCTCTCCCCCCACTCTATAGGTGTGACAGTGTGGTACTGTACCCCCGGAAGATCTACCGCTTTGATGGTCTTTCCCCGGTAATTTCATGAAGCAACCTGTTACGCAAGAAGAGATAGTGAGAAACAAGAGAGGAGCTAATTTGGCCCGTAGCGGCCATTTTGGCCCAAGATTCAACAGGGATCATGGACAAATTCGAATGCTTTGTCGTTTTGGTCCACTTGTTGGGTGCCTGGAATCAAAAACCTGGCACATTGAATGCTTTGACGGTTGCATTCATGACACCTGCAACTGGTGCAAACTCAGTGCCTTTGCCAGTGGGCGCGACAGAAAGCCAAGGTGTCACAGATCGCTGACCAACTCGGTGACACCGAGCTTCAAGTGACTACGAGCTGAAGAACTGCGGCCGCGGACCCGTCCAAGAAGGCAGAGCGTTCTGTCGAGCAGCTCAGTGGCGGCGAGTGCAGAAACGTAAAGTTGTTCCTACTTGAGAAGGAAGGGGCATGGAAGTAGTGAACCTCAATGACCTCAATAGGTGGTGTCCAGAATGCTTGCGTTTGATCATGCACGCTGAAGACGGCGCCGCGGTGACCACCTGGGGCTTGCCCAGAGCAGCTGCAGAGGGCAGAGGGTAGACTGCCTATAACATCGTCTTTGCAGCTGACCGTGGCTAGGAGTGTTCTTGTTCGCCGCCTGTGATCAAACCTTCTGGAGCCAAGGGGGTTCACATCCCCGCGCAGAATTGGAAAGAACATGAGCAAACTTGATGCAGAGGGCATGAGGGTGACAGGCGCTGCACAGGATTACAGCAGGCAGGCTCAAAGGCGTTGGCGACGGGAGTTGAATGCTGCGAAGAAGAGGGTGCAAGAGAAAGAAAAAGAGAGAAGAAGGAGAAGGTACAATCAGATGCAGGACATACCGACTTGGCATCAGACCGAATCAGTGCGCCTTGCGCAGACAGTCTTGGCAAGCGCCTGGTGTTCAGCGCCAGAAGAAAGCGCGAAGAAGGTGACAGGAGAAGGGGTGGACGCGAGCGAGAAGCAGAATGAAGAAGAGGAAGAACTGGGGTGACAAAAGGCAATCCTACCTGAGGGCTGTTTTTGCTGGGAAGAACTCAATAGATCTATTTCTGAACTTGCTGGATGACAGGGAGATGCAAAAGCTCGTTTTCGCAGAGTTCTTTGCAGGTATGGGAGGCTTTTGGAGGCGATGAAACTAGAGGGCGTGCGTTTAGAAGAGGCGCGTGCTAACGTGCTACTTTGCATGGATGCGCCCGGGGAGTGGAACATACTTGCAGGGGAGGACTTTGGAAACAGCAAGCAGTTGTGCGAAAGAGAGCTGGACGATGGGCACTTTGCCTCAGTGTGTTGCGCCGTGTCAATGGCTCGTAGCATCGTAGAAGTGTCGAGAACCCATGGATGTCATTTATATGGCTGCTTGGCTCAACGCAAAGGACCATGAAGATAAAGATGAAAGCAGAGCTGCTGTGTCTACGCCAATGTGCATCGTGGGTGAAGCCCATGCACGTGACAGGAATACTCACGACCGCTGTCTGGATGAAGCTTGCGCGGAGGATATTTCATGATCGAGGTAAGAGATCACCTTCACGCTACAAGCCTTTGCGACAAAGTTTTGGACTATGTTGCAGAGAGGCGGTCCTGCAGCAGAGCGTCTATGTCTGGCGCGGAGCTTGCGCGGAGGTTGTTCGGACGAAAGAAACAAAATGCCATGATGTGCTGGTGAGAGCCGAGCAAGGAGGGTGCAAGTTGAAGGTACGAACCATGTGATCAAGTCCGCCAAAGAGAAACGGAGGAAGAGCTTGTGGCGGCGATTGGCGATCTGCAGGTTGGCGTGAAGTCGCAAGCTCAGGGAGGTTGGAATAAAAGGAAAGGTGATAGCGAATCGCGCGCTAGAGGGAGAGACCAGCCAGATGGTTGCGGCGCAAATAAGTAGAGACGGGGGCCATTGCTTTGGGCTAGAGTCGCTTGGGCAGCAATGATACTTCGACTTCATTTTTCAACATTCCTTGGGTCTTAACGTTAACACTCCCACTGCTGCAGCAGAGTCCTCGTTTTCTTGATGCTCAGCGGGAATCCGTTATACGTGCGCCGGACTTGGAAGACCGCGCGCGCCGCGCTCCTCTAGTGAGTGGACGCGTGTGGAATCCACCGGCGCTAGCTCCAGCCACCCTCTAATCTCATGTGCAGTAAAGTTGGGACCGCGCGCAATCTTTGTCAACGCTGTGCCTTGTCCTCTCTCAGGTCCTACTGCTGCTCGCCGTCGCGCGCCTGCGCTCTTTCTGCGCGCTTGCGTGGCCCCAGAACGATGGCCCTTGGATTAGCAACGCGATTAGTCTGTCGGGTAGGGCGCGCGCGTGGAAATAAAACGAGCGCAAGAAGTTCCTGGCAACTTTTGAGCAGTTGCTGTTGCCCCTCAGGCTGCTGCGGCGCGCGAGTGGAGCGCTGGTTCAAGTCGCATTTTGATATCTTCAAGACTTTGGCGGCTAGATTTATCAGCAAGGCAACGTGAATGTCCAAGGCCAATACAAGAGCAAGAGAGGTGTTTGCGAAACAGTTAAAATGTTCTTAGCGCCTGTGTTCCGTTGTTGCTGTGAACTCGCGCGTAGTCTTCGCACGGTGAGCTGCCGTGTCATTCAGCAAAGTCAAGACGCGGCGGGCAAGCTGTTGGGGCCAGCAACAAAGGGGGAACGCAGCAGGCTGAACTGGTGGTCGGGTGCCTCGGCAAAGATCCAGACGGGTTGCAGGTTTGAGCCAGCAGGAGGGCTGAGGATCTGAATCCTTGGGACTTGTTTCTTGTTGCGTGAAACGCAGCCTGGCGCGAGGAGGGTGCTTGCGTGCTCGCGTGGGAAAACGCGTCCATGGATATGCCCCTACCACGCAGGCTTGGATCTAGCGAAGTTGCAGGTGAAACGAATCGACTGTGACTGTGTTGCAAGACAATGAAGTCGGCAAAGAGAGGCGCGTTCCGCTGATCAGGCAGCTTGGTGGCGCTAAGAGCAACTGTGAGCCAAGAGCGGATGATCTCGCGCGCGAAGAAGTTCGGTATATTCGCGCGCAAAGTAGTGCCTGAGGCTGGAGGGGTACACCTAGGTCTGGCGGCAAAAGAGTTGGCGCGACCATGTGACCAGGGTGAAGTTGCGGTGAAAGACGCGCGCTGAGTTGGGCAAAAAAATTCGAGGAGCGCTGACCCTGGTGGCGAACATGAATCACCATCCGAGCAATGTTTCAAGGGCCAGTTGTGCAGAGAACGATGCCCACCTTTGAACCACGGTGTGTTGGAATCGACCATGCGTTGCGCGCGAGCACTTGAAGAGAGGACGATCAAGCAACTTTCGAAAGACGCAAGACACGCAACGGGTAGGGCGCAATGTAGGCTGGGGGTGGGCGATATTTGGAATAGATGCGTTCACATCCAACGCTGGTTGAAGGGACGGCAGAAATCTGTTCTTTGACCGGTGGTGAGCCATGATAATTCGTCGTCAGGCACATCGCAAATCCTTTGAGAAAGTTGCTTCTCGCAGGGTGGATACACGACTCTTCTTCAAACTTTTTCGCAGTTCTATTGGCACCTGTCACCAAGCATTGCAGCGGAGGTGCAGCCCTGGAAAACACGGACGCCCCAGATCAATGAAAAACTAAGACAGGGCTTCTTGCTTGCTCAGGGGGTAGGCCATGAAGAGCCAGACCTCTTGATTGGGCCCCTCCCCCGACAACTAGGAAGCGATTCTGCGGTGCGACGGTACTGATTCCGTATGACTTCACATCATGTTATTTCCGTGGGGCTTGTCCGCGTTTTGCAATGTGCTTGGGCATTGCAGGAGCCGAAGTGTTTCCCCGGTTTCTCCGAAGCAGCAATGCAGCACGGTCAGCACTCCGGAGCGCTTCAAGGAGTTGCTGAAGGAGAGAGGGATGGAGCGGATGCTAAAGCTACCGGATGCTGCGTGTTTTAGATGCGATGCTTTGCAATTTTTATGTTTTTTGTAATGTTGACTTGTTCTTGCACTTACTTACTCTTGCTTGTGAAGCTCTCGCGGCCTGGGTGTTTGTGCAGCAGGATGCGCAGAAAGCAGTCCTCAGGGTAAGCAGATTCCTGGCATTGTAGTTTGTTTCATGATTGTGCCAGTCACATGATGACAATGTTTGCGAATGTTGTGAGACCAAAAATTTGACATTGTGGCAGGCAACAGAGAACACAACCTCCAAAGAGGAAACACACGAGGTTCATTCCATCAGACTTGTTTGCGCGAATTGGTTGTTCGTTTCATCATCGTTTTTCGCGTTGTTTCATTGGCCAGCTCTGCTGTTTGCGCAGGTTTCAGGGACGTGACCCGATGGAAACAGCGAGGTGAAAGAATCTTCAATCCGGCATTGGCATGTCGGCGTGTTTCAATGTTCACGATGGTCCCTGGTGGTCACACGCGTTGCCGTGCGTTGCCATATTTTGCATGAATCATTTGTCAAGCTAATCAGGAAAACCGGATGCCATTGACAGTCCATGAACTCCAAGGTTCTCAAGCAAGAAGATTTGGTATCATAACCTTTTTATGCATTATGTTAACACATTCATACACAGCAGACTAAGGCGACATTCACATTTCTTGCATCTCGAAACGGCGCAATGCCATGGAATAGACGGAGCGGCGGTGGGAGCTCATGGCAGGAATCCAATTGGGACCAGGAAGAATCCTGGCAGAGAGAGTACCCCGAGTATCCTATTCAGGAGTCAACTTGGTCTGCTTCCTGGGCCAAGCAGGAGAAGCGGGTCTTGTGGGCGTGTGGAGAGTGCAGAGCATGTCTCAGCCTCCAAGTTGAACTGCTTCACACCGGAGAAGCCACCACTGCAGCACTCACCCGGAACATCACACATACAAGACGAATTGTGCACACCAAACACATTTTTGAATCGATAGATATGCTAAACCACTGCATACACGTGGATTACATACGGTGTTCTCCTTGTTTTATAAGTTTTATATACATTTTTCATTTTACGCATCCTTCCCAGTCGGAATTGTTCCAACCAAAATGCGAAGCATCAATGACCAGCACCGGAGACACGGCCGACACGCCCTACAAGTGCCGGAAACACACCCATGTTCGCCACTTTCACCCGGGCATCTCGTTAGCGTCCTTGTTCCTAGTAGCGATGCCAGGAGCCCCTAATAGCGTCCTTGTTCCTTGCAATTGTATAGATAATCACTCTGACACATAAATACAGTACGTTCTGCAGTATGTTTTGGCTAATTTTGTTCTATTGAACCTCAGTGTTGCAAACCCGCGAAGGAGGATTCGTATGAGGCATGGACCACATCTGCAGAAGATGTGTGGTCGAATTGGGGGAAGGATAACAATGGAGGCTCGTGGGGCGATCGGGACGATCCCTGGTCCTCTTGGAATGGGGGTGGCACGAAGAGTGGTCAACAATGGACCAAGGATCAGACATCCTGTGAAGACCAGTGGAGCGCGGGGCAATCTTGGAATGCAGACCCGTGGTCTTCCCAAACCCAGGCTGAAGCTGACCCTTGGTCACGCTATGGTGGCTCAAAGCAGGCGCAGGCCAAAGAAGACGCCTGGACCGAAGATCCTTGGCAGAAACACGACCCATGGAAGGCGAAGGATCCTTGGAAGGATTCTTGGGCCCAAGCAGAAGACCCATGGACGTCACAGGAAGATCCGTGGGCCGCGGAAACAAAGGATTACCAAAGGTCTTCATGGGGTGGCGACAATTCAGACAAGAAGTGGACTACGTGGAACGCAATCGAAGCGTGGGGCGACAAATTGGTGGAGGTCGATTGGACCACCCGACCGCCCATCGATATCAAGAAAGATTTCTACTCGGAATGCGCAAACCCACTTGCGGAGAACCGCAGTGCTGAAGAAGTAGCAGCCATTCGGCACTCCGACGACATCGAAATTATCGATGGCGACAGCAGCGTGCCACACCCAATCTGCTCTTTTGAGGAGACATGTTTTCCGGATGACTTGATGGACAGGCTGACCGAGCAGCACTTCCAGGAGCCTTCGCCTATCCAAAAGCAGATTTGGCCTCTTGCAATGCAGGGCCGGGACCTTGTGGGCATTGCAGAGACAGGATCTGGCAAGACAGTCGCGTACATTCTGCCGATGATTGTGCATATATCGTACCAGGCTGGTGTGCAATTGATTGTGACCAAGCATCATGTTTGCGAGTATGTAAAGCCACTTGATTGTAGGGTCCAAGTGTAAGTCTTTGGCCTTTGCCATTTGGTTGATTGCAATATAAGCAGACACTATTGTACTATACATCCCCCAGGCTTTGCTGGAGAAAGGGGATGGGCCTGTGGCTCTGATCTTTGCTCCCACCCGGGAGCTAGCCTCGCAGATCAAAGAGCAATGCGATCTCTATGGCTTGCCGAGAGGCATAAAGACCTGCACCATTGTTGGTGGGACTCCTTCTCGCCAGCAGAGGGAGTGGCTCGAGGACAAGAATGACATTGTAGTGGTTTGGCTAACATTATGGGAGAAACCGTGCTTCAAAGACGATTCTGTAGTTGGACGCTTCTTTCCATTCTTTTCATTTGTTGGCTGTTGATATTTTGGGTTTTGTCGCTCGTAAGTACACCAGAGTACCCTCACTTTTCAAAAGAGAACTCCAAAAAACTGAGTGTGAAACTAGGTTTGACATGGATGGGTGTTTCCAATACTGCGGGATGTGGGGTTCAGAGGTTGTGCTGAATTCCTCCATTGTGACTTTGCTTTGTTCTTCGTAGATTGCTTTGCAAGGTGAGCCGCAGTGTGGAGCAAACCAAGGCCCGCCCACAAACCTGCGTCTACCAATAAACCCTGCTGCGACTATTCTGTTGGACAATGCATCGAGCACAAGAATATCAATAGAAAACTTAAATGTATATTATATTATATTATATAGATATACACATCAGATGATTTCAAGACTTGTATATATATATATATATCGTTGCAATGAACCCCCTGCTTTGCTTTTCATTCGCCTTCATCTCACACCTACTGCTCCAACAATGAGCAACACCAAATGCTCGGTGTCCAGGAAGCACGCCGCAAGCTGCAAGAATTATTCAAAAAGACGACCACACGCCAAAACCACAGAAGCAGAAAGTCGTTTTTTGCAACGACAAAGAAATGAATACAACACTCCGGAGATCATCGTTCTTCCCGGACTCCTGCAAAAGAGCTCTTCAGTAGCAACTGGTTTCAACTGTTGTTTTCGCCCTCGTACTCAGGTGGCAACACCAGGACGATTTATGAATGCCTTGGGTGATGGTTGGGTTACGCTCAACAGGGCCACCTATGTGGTCCTCGATGAAGCAGACGAGATGCTCAAGAAGGAGTTCTATGATCAGATCAAGCTCATTCTGTCACAAGTGCGAAAGGAGCGGCAAGTCCTTATGTTCTCGGCCACCTGGCCAGAGGAGGTGAAATGCTTTGCTCAGGAGATTTGCACAGCCAGTGACGGAATGCCACCAGTGGTTGTGCGCATTGGTGGGAGCAAACTTGCAGCCTGCAAGTTCATTGAACAACACACCGTAATGGTGGATGGAGAAGATGAGAAGTATGAACAACTCTTGGAGAAGTTGCAGTCTCCAGAAACTTTCAAAGACGATAGCAAGGCTATCATTTTTTGCAGGACCCGCGGTGGAGTCCAAAGGTTGGTGGATCGGCTGAAGGAAGAGCACTTTCTGTGGAATGAGAACAACGACTTCATGGTTGCCTGCCTGCATGGGGAACTACAGCAACATGACCGGGATTACGCCATGAAACGATTTCGGAGTGGTGAAGTTCCCTGCGTTGTTTCCACAGGGGTCTTGGCTCGTGGCCACGACATCCCGAAGGTGCGCTTTGTCTTCAACTACGATCTTCCCAGTGCACCTGAAGACTATATCCACCGAATAGGGCGAACCGGTCGCGCTGGAGCCAAAGGCTACGCAATGAGCTTCGTCGATAGGTCAAGTTGGAAAGAGATGGAGTCTTCATCATTGTTTCTGATGGATGTGCTGAAAGCCACAGATCAAAAAGTGGAACCCGACTTGAAGGATGCGGTGGACAGCTACCAAAAAACCCAAGTCTGGAATGAAGAGGAGACGGGGAACGAAAATGGGTGGGGAGCAGAGGATGGTGCAGTAGAGGCATCGCCAGAGGCAGAGTGGGATTGGAGTGACCCAGCGAAGCAGGAGGCGATGCAGGAATGGCAGCAGCAAAATGCCTCGTGGCAGCAAGACACTCAAGACTCCCCAGCATGCTCAGGTGAAGCGTATCAAAACGCAAGTGCTGCAAGTTGGGAGGTAGACGCAGCCGCCACAACAGCCCCCGCCACCGACCCCGCCACCGACCCCGCCACCGACCCCGCCACAGCCCCGGCCACAGCCCCGGCCACAGACCTTGCCACAACCCGCAAACCTCCTGGTCTGGAGGAGCCGGCAATCACAATTTGTCCAGAAGCAGTTGAGACGGCAGTCGAGCCTGCAGAACCTGCAGGACAGCAGGTTTCGCCCGAGGTTGTGGAAGTTCAGGTTGATGCACTTGTGCTGGACACCGACGATGTTGCACAGAGCAAGGCGCAACAGTTGGAAGAGGGACCTGTCCTTAGTGAGTTGCTTTCGCATCTGAAGAAAAAGTGTCTTGTTTGGGGACCCTGAAGACAATGGGCCTCCATCCAGCAAGTCAAACATACTTGAGACTTCAGAGAAATATTTCATTTGGAAGAGAGGCTCCAGGTGTTCCTGGTCATCATGTTCACCTTCATTCTACCCCCTCACACTGAATGTCATCCAACGTCATCTCGTCTCATCCCATGTTGGCCCACTTCAGTTCGCCTCATGTAGAAAGGATGGAAGAAGGACAGGAAGCCAAAAAGGAAGGTCTAAAGGTGTAAAATGGTGTAACTGTAAGTCAGAAAAGAGAAGACAAAGACAGAAATAAAAGAACAAGGGAAGAAAGGAAGCAAGGGGTGGCTTCACACCATGAAGTCTATATTCAGCACAGTACTCGTCCGACCCACTGCTCACCATCGATATGCATGAAATTGCAGCCAAGCAGCGAAGAACTTCTTGACCGCAATCTGTGAAATCAAGGAAAGAGATCAATTGTAGACTAGGGATGGCCTCCACCCTAGTAGCGATGGCCTGCAACCTAATAGCGATGGCCTCCACCCTAAGCAAAATAAGACATACTCAAGGAAGAAAGAAAGGTTTGCAGGTTCAAAGACAAGACGAAAAGAGCAACATGACAGAAACCAACAAAGAAAGAATTGCCTAGAATTGACACTTAAAGTGGAGCAGCTAAATAGCAACCCGATAAAATCCAATGCGCACA